TTGGGTGGTTTTTTATTCCTGGAGTAAATAGTCTTTTTGGCAATTATTACATCCCAACCCCTCCTGAGCGTATTGAACAACATTTACCAAATGAGTTTGTTACATATTTTCAACTTACGTAATAGCTTTTTTCTCTTCCAGAATGTTCCACACGGGCGTATTCCTTGTCAATTAGAAGGCCAGCCTCGGAACAGCGGGCTGTCTGCAGCCCCTGAGAGCTTGAGAGAAGGAGGAGCGTTGTTCCAGGCTCCTTGCAGTTTTGATATCTTTGCCTCCAAATCTGTTCCAGGTTAAAATTGTTAAGTGGACCCAGGTCTATCAATAGTTGCACATATTAAAAAATGGTGTCTTTTTAAAGTACTTGAAACAAAAGATTGAATCTTATTAAGGCCACCAAAGCTTCTTATTGATGAAATTCAAATTGGTCAGGTTCTCATTTTGTAAGTTCATAGTACCATCCTAGGAGGGTGACCGAGTAATTCATTTTCTAGTGCACTTTTAGGATTTGAAGAGGAGAAAAAGGGGAAGGAGCGGTAGCAGAGGGTAAAGGGGATAAGTGGTGGTGGGAGGAGACTTGACTTGGGGAGGTGAACACACGGCACAATGTACAGGTGATGCGTTATGGGATTGTACACTTGAAGCCTGTATAATTCTGTTAACCAATGTCACTCCAATACATTGAACTTAAACCAAGGTTTGAAGATGGTACTAGGAGAAGAAATGGTCATTTCCTTAGAAAAAGTACTTGCCATGCCTTCCTTTCTTCTGAACTTGTTATGAACAGGAAAAAAAAGGCTTCAAAGGTAGGAAAGGAGACGTTTTGAGAAGGATTTGAAGGCGTCTTTATTAGAACAATGTTCTCAGCGTTGGTTATCCACATGCTGCTGTGTGCTAGTCTGTTCATTCACACTCTCCACCCTTGTGCATCCTCCCTATTCGAAGAATTAAAATCAAATGCTAGACATGTAATTTCATTTAGAAGAGGAAGATTTTCAATATGGAAAAGAAATGAAGAAGATGAGGACTGTAGCTTAACTTTTGGAATAGGGTAACCCCGTTGAAATTCTCAGCACTCCACTGTCATTTACTCTCTAAGATCAGGATCCTCATCTTACCCGTCCAAGTCAGCGTGTCATCTTTGTCATGTTTCTCCTCTTGCACATCTTAGTTTGATTTAAACAAATGTTTTTCCCAATATTTATTAGCATATTGCATAATTGAGGTATGTAATTGTACATTAATATGCTTTATCTCTTTCTATAGTACAGAACCCCTCAGCTTACTCTGATTGGAAACCTCATTGCGTCTAAGCAAAGCCAACAGAGACCACCCCCCGATTTCCTGGAACAAGGCGATCCTGGGCACCTGCAGCTTGGCAAGGACAAAGGGGACCCTCCTGAAGTGAGGCCAGGAAAGGGCGGCAAGAAAAGGCAAGGTTTAAGTGACCCCTTCCGTTACGTCACGTGGTGATAAACGGCGAGTCACTGGCTCAGCCTCCTAGCAAACATGATTGCGTGTTCCGTCTCCCTGTCGGTGCCCTGCATTGGAAACACCTGAGGACAAGGAAAGTCCCTGTGTGAGAGACAGATACTGTTATTTTTAAAGATTTTTTTAAATGATTTTCAGAGAGAGGGGGAGAGAGAAACCTTGATGTGAGAGCAAAACCTGGGTCAATTGGCTGCCTCCTGCACACGCCTACAGGGGTTCGAGCCCAAAGCCTGACCAGGAATTGAGCCAGCAGCCTTTGGGTGCCCGGGACAGCACCCAGTCCACTGAGCCACGTGGCCAGGGCTGGAGACAAAGGCTGTTCTTTTTCCCATTTTAGTCGGCAGTTCTCTCCTGGCACTCACAGCGGGGGGCTCCTTTCCTATGGCAGGTGAGCAGCCGGCTCTGCAGCACAGACCTGAGCTGCCGTGCAGCATTCCCTGTCCTCTCAGCACCCGGAACCGAATGGGCCTTTCCCGTCTGACCGCGCCCTTCACTCTCTCATCTAGGAAGTGGGAGGCTGAGTGACGGGCCGGCGTCAGGCTGAGACGTATGCATGTAGCAGGAGGGCTGTGACCTGTGCTGCAGGGCCTCTGCAGTGTTGTGCTCATCGTGGACGTTCAATACGTGTACTGACCAGCAGATTATTACTTATTTAGAAAACACTCTGAAATGTTTACATCTATGGCCCTACCTTCTGTTATCAGTGCTTTCTTTCCAGAAACGGGTCCTTCCTCCACCTTGTCCGGGTGTTCCCTCTTCCGAACTAGCCTCCTTGAATGGAGGTGTCCGGAGGCTCCTGGGGCAGCTTAGAACCGCAGGAAAGGGAGCTTGACCATCCCTACTGGGCGTCATCCTGGCCTGAGACTCCGTGGTTACCCAGACAGTCAGCCCCTAGCAGAGGAGGTGGGAACAGCGTCATGTGTCCCCGACTTCGGCTGGTATCTGCTTTTATTGTAGCGGAATATCTTGCTAATTTAATTAAATGCCATTGAAAATAATTTATAGAGATAGTTTCCATAACTGTCTCCCTGGGTAGCATGACACGAATAGAACACTGGTTGGTGTTACTGAAACAGTAGGCATATATTTTACACTGTCGTCTTTCACAGGCAAAAGCGACGAGCTGAGAAAGAGCTGCAAGAAAACAGCTCCGAGCAGCAAAGGAGAAAACCTAGTGTGGCCGTGCACCCAGGCGCTGCTGTCCTTCCTGACCATGACTCAGGGGCAGCTGGGAGAGCAGAGGTACCTAAACCTGCCCCTTCTCCCCGGCCTGCGCAGAGTCAGGGCGGGTAGGGGGGCACCTGGCCGGGCTGGAGCACCGATTGTGACCTGCAGCTCGGATCGAGCACACATGCCTCCGGGAGCAGGGCACAGTGTGAGGTGGAACGCAGCTCGACGGCCAGTCAAAGGCTGCGGCTTAGAGCGTGTGCCTGCGGCCTTCTTACCTCGAAGTCACTCTGCTTTCTCCTGCGACACCGTGAAGCATTGGGTGTGACTTGGGTTTCTCCTGCTTCAGTTTCACCTCTCTCCTTAGCTGCCTCTAGAAGGTCCCATACACATTTATTATGCAGCCTGTTTTGGAACTCGGATCTCTTCCAACACTCCTAAGCGGGGACCTGGTTACCTAGTTTTCAACAACAGGTTAAATGGAACAGCTTTGTATACAGGGCGCACACTTCTCACAAAGTCCTCATTAGTGGGCCCTTGAACAGTTCTGCCCTGAGGGGGCTCCCCGGGGGTTCGGTGAGCTGAGACGCGCTGCGGGAGAGAATGCAGGCTGTAGTCAGTCCTGAAGCCGGTGACGCTCTTTCTTTATTGCCTGGCTTGGGACTTTGGGGAACTCCTTCGTAGGGTTACGTTGATGGAGTAAATAATTTGGTAGAGTAAATATTTCTAGAATTAAGGGATTTGAACCTATTCCTAAGACTTAACTATTCTCAGAGCTATGATATATATTTTTAAAAATAATACATGTCATCGAGTTAATCTTAGGTTGATCATTTGGGATTCGTTTAGGAGCAGCGAGAGCATCGTGGTTCCCAGACGTTGGATGCCTTCGAAATCCCTCTGGGTATGTATATGCCTGATGAGCGTGGTGTCTGAGTTCAGTTATAGATGTTTCTATTAAAATGAGGCTAAATTCTCCCTACATGATCTGACACAGTGGTGTGTGTGTGTGTGTGTGTGTGTGTGTGTGTCTGTGTTATCCAATAGAGCACTCCTGACAGACTAGACCAGTGGTCGGCAAACTCATTAGTCAACAGAGCCAAATACCAACAGTACAACGATTGAAATTTCTTTTGAGAGCCAATTTTTTTAAACTTAAAAAAGGTAGCTACATTGTCATTAACTTAATTAGGGTGCTCCTAAGGCTTAGGAAGAGCCACACTCAAAGGGCCAAAGAGCCGCATGTGGCTCTCGAGCTGCAGTTTGCCAGCCACGGGACTAGGGCCACAGGCCAGGCGCAGACCACGCCTGTTTCTGGAATCGGTTTCCTGAAACGCAGCCCTGTCCACGCATTGCACGTTGTCTGTGCGGCTTTGGCGCTGCAGCAGGCCCAGCGTTGCAGAAAGGGACCATGTGGCTCACAAAGCATATACTCTCCAGCCCTTTACAGAGCAAGTTTGCCAACTACTATAGTGGAGCAATGCAATTAGTTAGAAGCCCAAATAACACACTGATATTTAAGGCCCAACAGGAAGTTATGGAAGA